GTGAAATTAATGCACATCTCGAAAAACAATAACAAGTTAAGCCTTTTCTCGACTATCACTACTCATTACGTAATAAAGAGTGACTGCTTGTGCGTAATAAGTGAGGTCACCCGTTCGTTGCGCAGTTCTCAAGAAGGGGGTCGTGTCCAAGCTTTTCTAGGAGGGGGGAGCATTTTGGAAGTGTAAGGAGTCGTGGGTGGCGGGAGAGGGAAGTCGCGTTTGACGGACTTTTTGATGATTTTAGCCAGTCTCTAGGAAAGAAGCGCGAAATAGACAAATCAGTGGATTGCCGGTAAGATGGGCGGTCGTATGGGGAGGCTTCCGGAAAGCTGATGATGGTGGTGGTAGGGTCGCACCGAGACACCTTCCAAGAGGGAGGTCGTCAAATTTCAGGAATCGGAGTAATGGACGACTGGCCCAGTAATAAGTGCCTCATGCATTAGAGGGTGACACAAGCAGAACAGTCGGCATGCTGACACCGCTAGAAGGAAGGTTGGCTTCCCATATAGTAGGAGGCAATCGGTTTCTCCTATTATTTCACCTACCACACCCATTGATATGAAAACGGCAATCTGTAGACGAACACAAACAGACAATCCACAGAATTCAGACACTAGTGCACTTTACACAACAGGCAAATAGCCGCACCTTCACTGCATCTGGTCATTTGAACAGCAGTGGGCGCATAGCTCTTTTTTATGTCTGCAAAAACTCTTAAAACTGCGTAAGAAACTTGTTCTATTCTATTATGCTGCCCTTAAGGGTCTTTTCTGCAACAATTTCAAAAGCAAATGATGCAAAACGGGTTACGACTGATCTATTTTGACACGATCAGCACTAGCAGACGATGGCAGTGGTAGCGGCTACACCAGCCCCTACACCTACTACTTGCCCCTACAGTGGTGCTCAAAAGTGTAGGGTGAATGTCATACCTTTTCTGTCATAGCACAGTAGTAGTTATATACCTTTCACCTCCACATATGTGGTTGAAGCTCCAAATGACATTTTCTTGCCCTTACGTCGATCCTGCGCTTAGCAGTAAGTGTTTTGGTTTGTTCACCTCTGGCACGACTTTCAGAATTGGTATAATTAAGAATTCAAGATAGTCCGTTAACTTCTTCTTCATTTCCTTTACGTTAGTCCAGGACAGTTGGAGGCAGGGTCGACCCCATCGTTGTGACTTTTTAAAAAAAATTTACGACACCCCAACCCCAAGGTGGATTTGATACGACCCCCTATTCCCACTTTTCCCTCCAAGAATGCCGTCGAGCGGGGGGTATATAGTTACTCTAAAACAGTAAAAATTTCGAAAATTCTCTATATTTTCACCATTTCACCCCTACTTATTTTACTCCTACCCAGTTTTATTTATATTCCTACTGCTTCATTTTCTAGGGGAGGCTCAACACCTGTGAATTTGGCGACGGAGGGGTGAGACCTCGCCCTCCTACAAAAGCAACTAGGTACACTTACCGCCGTTGTTACTCGATAAGCCAAAGTGGGTTGACCCTGGTTGGAGAGGTCGCTGCATTTCTGTTGAGCGTCACGACTTGATCCGTTTTGACCGATGCGAAAGGAATCCGGAACACAGTAAGCTCCTAGTGCGTAAGAGAGTTCCGAGCGCGGAGTAGTTTTGCACCTTTTGAAGGATTTTTTCCTCGAAAGATGTTAGGCGTTACCATCGACTTCAATCGTTGAACGTGGACATTTTGTGACCGGTAATGTGGCATTAAAACTCTATCTTCCTCGAATTTTCATCAAATTCCTGCTAGATGACCCATGTGCCATCACTTTCGCTGGCTGCTCCTTTAATGACATAATATTCGAACACAAAATCCATTATACAGCCAGCAGCACCGTGCAAATCAATTGAAAGCTATCTTGCATTCTTCTTACTAAACAATGGAGCTGACAAAGCTAACCAAGCTTCCAAGGGGGGCGTTCTCACCGACTGTTGTGGCATACATGGGTCATACTAGAACTCCAAGAGAACATGCCTCGACCTTCATTGATGGCACCTGGAAGGCTTTCTCGTTGTGGTAGTATTGATAGTATTCTCCCTAAAATAGAAAAGTGTTGTGCGGTCGAATGCAGTACATACATTATCGTTACAGGGCTTACTATTGTGTGGCGTCGCGCGACAAGGTGTACGGTCGAGATATAGTCGAGGCGCATTACCGTGCCTGCTTATACGCCGGCATCAGCATTTCCGGCACCAATGCAGAGGTTATGCCAGGACAGGTGAGTGGCCACTTTAATGCGAGTCTGGCCCGTTTCGATGCGAATGAGACATGGCTCGCGTCATTGACTACAGTAAGCGTGCTAGAAGAAGCCAGGACTCATCACCCCTGACCAGTATTAAAGTGCTGTGTACTTGCTCTCGCACGACTTACAGTCAGTGGCCATGAGAGCGATCCACTGCAGGTATGTATGACATAGTACACCAATTCTTCTCCACTCGCTACAACGAGCAACGCCAGCTGCTACGCCTCAGCGGCGCGGAAGCCTTCGCGTGTCGGTGACGTCGGTTTGACGTGACAGTGGAGGCCTGGGAATATTCAGCAAGGTGCACGTGCTGCACCAACGCTAAATAGCATCAGTAGTGAAACATCTACAGTTCATTGTCTCGCCGTCTGAGTGGGGCGTGTTGGCCGAAAATCGCGCTGGCCACCATCGCACTTGATAGAAGTCGCGCGGATAAACTGTCAAACATACTTCGCTAGTAGTCACCAAAGAATGGAGACAACTTATCCACGTGACTTCTATCGAAAGCGACGATCGCCGCATCATTCCCGGTAGCACACCACCCAGACAGACAGATAACTGCAGCGTTAATAGTAAAACCCTTATTTCACACGGCTCATCATATCTCACAGGCATCCCATTTTCCTGTCTTTCAGGAAACCATATAATTCAGTTCCCGAAAAAGTTCAATACTTTCGCACATTATACGAAGTTATACGAGCCAGTTAGCGTATTTGGGCCATTTGGCCGATAGGGGGTCACACAGGAACATTAGCAGTGGGTGACAGAGTGCAGTATGCAGTTGATAGCAGTGAATGAATTTTCCACGAATTTCTTTCTGTCTTACTTTCCGACCTCTTCTCCCCTCAATAGCCTTTGTCAGGTGTTGCAGCATTTTCTCACTAACCTTCTGTATCCCCGTCAAACTTCAAATGGTTTGTGTAAGCCCCATCACTTTTCGATCAACATCAAATTCCTTACGATTTAAGTGGCAGTACCACCCTGACGCCCCTTATCAGCCTTTTATCAATTTGTGATCACGTACCATCAATGTTCCTTTTCCGCCCCTATATCATTTGCTAGAGCTGGCGCTACACTGTTGCTGCGATGCGTCCAACGAATCTGGTGACCAGGTAAATAAGGGTCGAGGGCATCTTAACCGAGACGATTTGCTTGGTGGAAGAAGGAAGGGAGGAAGAGGCACAGATGGGGACAGTGAGAAGATAATTGCAAAACGAAAAGTGGTGATGTAAAATTTGCCCTTCAGCAGTCACACATATGTACTACCCTGACGCCTGCGCAGAGGGGATCATACATATTGATTAAAGGGAAGGGTCGCTCGGCGCTGTGAGCATGCCGTTTCGATATTCCATCGAACTTATATCTACCTTGTCCACTCAAATCATTAAGTCTCACAGGTCTATCTACCACGATTTGACTAACTATAAGTTGTGGTAGCTCGCTAGTGCCTACAATGGGAATGTCCTACTCCGTTGAGATGTGACTGTCCATTTCTGCATTGCACTAAGACATTCATCTATGCTTTCAGTGGGAATTTCAAGTGGGTCCAGTCGAAGGAATAGCGATGGGAGACCAGCTGTGGATGGCGCGATTCCTTCTTCATAGGGTGGCCGAAGAGTTTGGTGTGGTCGCCTCGTTAGACCCGAAACCAATCAAAGGTGAGTGGTTTTGTGATCCATGGTTGCCGGAGAAACGGGTCGGAAATTGAAGTGTATAGTTTTTCAAAGGACGGCTAGGCTAGTCTAGCTAGCTAGCGCGTTTTGACTCGACTCCGAAGATCCCCAGCTGTCTCGCAGCGCATAGCGCACGGCCTGGTTATTTTGCGCTCACCAAAAACGTGTTGTACAGCTTAGTTTTACACCAGGTGGGGATAACTCAAGTGCAGATGAATAGCACAGATAGATTCGAGGAGGTCGTTGGGTGTTGCCGACAAACAGGGATCACCAGAACCGCATCAGGGCCATGCCACCCCTGTTGAAATGATTGCGGAATTCTCGCATGCTTTACCCTCCCTCCACCTCGTTGTACAGCCGCTCGCTGATTCCTGCAATCAGTGGAAATCATCGAATTCTCAACATCCGTGGTGACTCAACCTTCAGCTCCCACAGGGACGTCGTTGTCTATGTCTCACTTGAGCAGCAATTTAGCGTATCTAGTAGAAATTTTTTGTGGGTGAAGAAACTCATGCCCAAACTTATCCATTTAAAGCTTCAAGACCAGACCCACTCTTTCCATAGCCTTCGAGAGATTTCAGGAGATTGGAACGGAGCAGGATGC